AAAAAAATTGTTGTTAACGCACTGTTAAGTCCTGTGGCGGTCGCCGCTAGCGACAACACGTCAAAGCGCCAACCGGCGCATTGTGTCGCACTATCGTCTTCTCGTCCTGTCTCTAACGCGGCTCGCCAATCCTTCAATTAATCAAAGCGCTGAAAGCACTGCTGGGGGCGCATTATGTTGATTGTATAGTGGTCTATTGTTACAAGCAGATGCCATTCCTACTTTCAAAGCAGAAAACACATTTTTACTCGATTATTCGATAAGAATAAGTAGAATTATCCTAGTCATCTGAAACGTCGGCGTCTATCACCTCAATTTTTCCCCGAAGTCCATTGACATTATGGCATTAAAACTTTGCCAACACTTGATCCCGATCAGGCACCCATTATGTTAAGATTGCCTATGGCTTCAAGATATTTTCGTATTCCATAGACATTGGCTTTGAAATAAATTGAAATTTTATACATTTCTTTGCGAGCATTGACTAGCTAGGACTCTCTCCAATGCTTATATCTGTAGAATGGGTTTTAAAAAAAAATTTGTCCTTTTGTGAACTTAGAATATTTTCAATAACCAAGGTTCTTCTATTGTCAGCACTAAAGCATAAAGTAGAGTGTGCTGTCCTACCAAACAGCTATTTTTGGCATACCTTGTGAAAATATAACTCCTTCAAACTTTTGTTCCAGTTATTATATACTAACACAAAGAACTGTCTTGAGGACAGTAAGGCTCGACTATTCGAAAAAAAGTTGTCACAAGGGTGTTTATATTATACTTACACAAGAACTGTTCCGAGGACAGTAAGGCTCGACTATTCGAAAAAAGTTGTCAAAAGGTGTTAATTGAGTAAAAAATAATGCTTACCTATGAATACATAAAAACTGAACCGAAAAGGTACAAAGGCTTGGATTAAGATGTTTTATCAAGTAAATCACTGCTTTATTATCATGAATGCATACAATTGTCCAAAAACAAAGGCACAAAACCCTTCAGTATTATGGAGATAACATGCTTACAAGCAAAACTTTTACCATTAAATCTAAGTTGAAAAAAGGGGAGAAAAATCAGCCTAAATGCTAGATAAAATTATGGATCTTGGTCAGTAACCTACATGTACAATTATGACCTAAATGCATGTGAAGTTTTAATATTGTAGGGCAGAGTTATTCAAACTTGTCAATCTGATGTACATTGTTACTATTAAATAACTATTGTAAGTTTCAATTGAATATCTCAAGCAATAATCGAGATATTTGACTTTAAATAAACTTTAACCAAGCGCTGACGCGGACGCTGGGTTAACTACAATAGCTCTCATATTTTTCAAATAGTCGAGCTAAAAACCACGAAGTCAATGGTTGATACCATATAGTTATTCCATTATATAAATATTATATGTATATATCATGGAAAACATTTTCAAGATAATACAATGGATTGTAGTGTATTAACACGAAAATCAGTGTACTTTAACTGTATTTATTCCATAATCATACAAACATCTGTAAATAACTGGAACAAAATAATCAGTAAATCACATGTGTCGCCTCATGATGGACAATTTCATTTGGGTCAAATTTTGTGACAGACGAACAGTGCCACAACTAGACTTGGGTACTGATCATTCCTGGTAAAGTTTGGAATAAAATTGCATGCGCAGTAGTTAATGAGGAGTAGACCGGACAAGCTTTTGCGTATCTGGCAACACACAGGAAAAAACACCTTTTTTATCAAGGGCCATAACTCGGCCAAATATCATTCAACCAGAAAACCCGTGCAATATGCGCAAGGACTTGAGCTTTAGATCAATCCTGTAAAGTTTCATTGAAATTGCATTAGTCGTATAACAGAAGTAGTCCAGACAAACTTTAAAAATAAAAATTATTAAAGGGCCATAACTCTGACAAAAATCATTGAACAGGAAGATGCTGATAATATGCACAACTAGACTTGGTACTGATCATTCCTGTAAAGTTTGGATGAAATTGCACCAGTAGTTTATGAGGAGTAGTCTGGACAGACAGACGATGGAGAAGTGATCCCTATATGTCGCCACTACTCCGTAGAGGCGACACAAAAAACATACAAAAAAAAAAAAAAAAACCTGATGATGACAGAACGGGGTATCACTTTATGCCTATATAATTTTTTGCTCAAGTGATTTTTTTTCCGAAGAGCTACATGTGAAATTGCTGCCAAATATACATAGGTAAAAACTATTTCAATGCTGCATGCATTCATATAAATATATTTAAAACAAGAGCTGTCGGTAGGACAGCAACGCTCGACTATTCTTAGTGCTTGATAGTAAAAAACATGCTTGATAGAGTTACCTCCTCTTGTTTACAGGTTTAGGTCATGATGGTTAACAAGTGTGCAAAGTTTCAAAGCCATATGTCAATGGACTTTGAAAATATTTGAACTATTACAAAAACTTTAACGTAAATTCTAAGTCGAAAAAGGGGCATAATTCTGTCAAAATGCTTGATAGAGTTACCTCCTCCTGTCTACAGGTTGGGGTCATGATGGTGAACAAGTGTGCAAAGTTTCAAAGCCATATGTCAATGGACTTTGAAAATATTTGAACTATTACAAAAACTTTAACATAAGTGGTTACGCCGAAGCCGACGCAGACGCTCGGGTGACTACAATAGCTCTACTTATTCTTATCGAATAGTCGAGCTAAAAATTCAAACTTGATTGAATAAAAAAAAAAATTCAAGGATAGCCCAAACTTGTTAATTATAAAAAAATATATATACAGAATATTATGTTGTAGTAGCTCTCTGGGGCTTTGTATTTTGATACGAGCAGCGGTGGGAAATTGATATCTTGCGAGACCAAAGGGCGAGCAAGATATCAATTTTCCAACATTGCAAGTAGAAATATGCATAGCCTCAGAAAGCTACTACAACATAATTTTCCTTTTACAATATACCTTTTCGTTTGAAGTATAAATGATTTTCATTATACTACAACTTATATAAGAATTTTCAGAAAAAGAAAATATAAGCTGTCAAGAAATAAATTATGACTGACAGATGAATACGTAATTTGTGCAAAAACCAGCCACACCTTTTTATTATCTTGGTTGCCGTTTCCATATACTACGTTTTACACAGCTAAGATCAGAACGTCAAAAATAGTCCAGTCCTTTCATATATGGTACTGTATTTGTCTCTAACATAATATAGAATTTTCTAACCGTTGAAACCTATTTGCGCTTCAAGATTATCCTGTGTTTTAGGAAGAAAATTTATAGGTATATAATAAATGCTGTCATTGACATTTCTTATGTTTATATTTATTATATGTATTTCTTGCAATCCTATTTATAGCTACTAATTCTATGAATTAAAATAGAAAATGAAGATAGCATGCAGACGGTGTTGATATTGTGTGTTAAAAATTTAAAAGATCATTGGAAATCATCCGAGTAACCGAATACTCGATCTGAAAAATGACCGAGTACTCGAGCATTGATTTTAGTATTTGTTGCCATCCCTAAAAAAAATAAAGTACTTGACAAGATCAACTAACATCTAAATAAAAAACTTTGAAAACAGAATTAATTATTTTGAAAAATTCACTCTGAGCTGTATTATTTAAAGTGGGTGTTCAAACACATTGAAAACATTGATAAGTCATCTCATGTTCTTGGTGATGAAGTGGTGCCTCAATATAGTTATCACTGCAATCTTCCTCATAACTCCTACTATTAGTATTACTGTATCTGTCAAACAAGCATCTCTGTTTTCTGAAATAGAGTTTTGAAAAAGTTTATTGCTGACCGAGATATTCCATACTTGTATGTTAACCTTTTTTCAGCATTTCTGTTAGAATTACTCTGATTTAACCAAACTAGAAATGTGTCATCATGCCACGGATGACCCCGCATGCAGCCAAAATTTCAGATGGTGCATTAATTATTTTTTTCATTTTAAGTTCAAAGCCCTTAAAACTATTCGATGTTAACACAAACCATTTTCATACAATGTTCAAGGCAATGAAATGATTCAGTCTTAACCTTTTAAAAATAGCATATTGCATATTTGTAGCCAAAATAATGGCTAAAAAGATGAGTGCTGAAACTGAAAGTTCAAAATTTTTCCAACATTCAGGAAAGATAAGTTTGTCTTAAATCATTGAACCACGACCAAATTCAAACTAAAACTGCTTATTCCTAAGATGTATCTATATTATTTTCAAAGTGAAAGGAACATAACTCTGCCAAAAAATCATCAAACCATGACCAAATTCCAACTTGACCTGCCCATTCCTTTGACATATCCATATGTCAAATTTAAGTTGAATATGTAACACTGTTGGGTAGATAATGAACAGAAACTGTAAATTTCATATTATTTTCAAAGTGAAAGGGGCATTACTCTGCCAAAAATCATTGAACCATGACCAAATTCGAACTTGGCCTGGGCATTCCAAAAAACATATCCATATGTCAAATTTGAGTTGAATGTGTTGTACCATTGGGGAGATAATAAACGGAAACTGAAAATTTCATATTACTTTCAAAGTGAAAGGGACATAAACTCTGCCAAAAATCATTGAACCATGACCAAATTCAAACTTGACCTGTATTTTTTTCATGACATATCCATATGTCAAGTCTGAGTTGAATGTGTTGTACCTTAGGGGAGATAATGAACAGAAACTGAAAATTTCATATTATTTTCGAAGTAAAATGGGCATAACTCTGCCAAAAATAATCGAACCATGACCAAATTCGAACTTGACCTGTATTTTCTCATGACATATCCATGTGTCAAGTTTGAGTTGAATGTGTTGTACCGTTGGGGAGATAATGAACGGAAACTGAAAATTTCATATTATTTTCAAAGTAAAAGAGGCATAACTCTGTCAAAAATCATTGAACCATGACCAAATTCTAACTTGACCTGTATTTTTTTCATGACATATCCATATGTCAAGTTTGAGTTGAATAAGTTGTACCGTTGGGGAGATAATGAACGGAAACTGAAATTTCATATTATTTTCAAAGTAAAAGGGGCATAACTCTGCCAAAAATCATCGAACCATGACCAAATTCGAATTTGACCTGTATTTTCTCATGACATATCCATATGTCAAATTTAAATTGAATGTGTGCAACCGTTCTAAAGATAATGAACGGAAACTGATGATGATGGAATGACAGAAGGATGGAAGGACGGAACAGGGTAACACTATATGCCCCGGCCATTACATGGCGGGGGCATAAAAATGCGCGACCAATGCCATAGCTCAACCCCTCTGTGCATTATTTCACAAACGAGCATCTGAGTAGAACCACTGCCTTTTTTTAAAGCTAGCTGGATTGCTTTCTCACATTAAAGAATCCATATTAAATATAATAGAACATTGATAATTGCTACACAGTCTCTTTGTAAACATAAAATAAGCATGTTTTGTGTTTACATAAAGTAGCTATGTAAGCTATGTAATGTTAAAACACCACACGCTATAGGTGGTCACAATATAAATATATAGTGTTGTTAGGAAACTGACAGTTTTTTTAAGAAAGGACCAAATTTTTTTGTCTCGTAAGGAGGAACATGGCTTCCATTGCATATTTAATTCATTATTTCATTCAAATTAGACATGTTCAAAAAGAGTTGCATAGAATTCAATAAATTTTTATGATTAAAATATTTTACTGATGAGCATAGTATATCTTTAAAGGTCAGTGGTTTAGGTACATTACTTTGGACTATGGACACCCCAATTAAATCTATTTATTTGCTTAGTAAACACAACTTTTCAAAGTCATATAAATTTGTACATGTGAGTGATTCTGATAATCTATATACAGCTAAGTCAAGATGAGATGATTAGATTTTACTGACTGCTTACTACATGAAGTCACTATTTCAATGTCAAATGCCTTGAGGTGAAAGGAATGAAAACTTGAATTTCAAAATACAATTTAAGTGAATTACATGTCACAAATGAGCCGTGTCATGACAAAACCAAAATAATGGGTTTGCGACCAGCATGGATCCAGACCAGCTTGCGCATCCACGCAGTCTAATCAGGATCCATGCTGTTCGCTTACAAACCCTATTACAAGTAGAGAAACTGATAGCAAACAGTATGGATCCTGATCAGACTGCACGGATGCTCAGGCTGGTCTGGATCCATGCTGGTCACAAACCCATTATGTTGGTTTTGTCATGACACGGCTAAAATGTTTTTGCTATCAACTTTTGTTCCTAAATTAACAAGCAATTATCATAGTATTGCAAGCAATCCATAAGTCCCCTACCGGTTAGAACCCCAGCAACATTCTGAAGGGCCATTGGCAATTCACTTATGTTTCTATTTTAAGTAAATTTGTTGAAAAAGTTCTTTAAAAGTGATCACAGGAAACAGTTTTTATGTACAGACAGACGGACTGAAGGACACTCTACAGTTATTTTTTAAACATCCCTGTTATCAAAATATAACATTTTTAAAAGCAAAATTTTTAAAAAGGAGATAACTCTTGAAATAAAGATGCAAGATGTCATACCTGATGTGAGTGTAACAAAGAACAATTAGTAATGAACGTATGAATAAAGAATGGTTATTTTTAATTTGAAGTAAATGAAAGTTAAAAGAACGAATAAGAAAAAATTAAAAGTTTAAGGAGGAGATTACTTTGGAAATATGGATGCTAGATTTATAAACCTTGTCATATTATTATGATGTGGGAATTTGAAGAAAATCCTATCATGATTGAAAGAAGTTGAAGTAAAAATTACCAATTTCTCGAAAAAAAAGTCTAAGTTAAAAGGGGCCTAATTCTGGAAATAGTCTTGCTAGAGTATTGAAATTTCTCACAAATGTTAAGTGATAATAAGAAACATATATATGAAGTTTGAAGTAGATACATTCAGAAAAAAAGAAGTTATTAAAAAAAAACAATTTTTTTTTTCATGAAAATTTTAAGTTCAAGGGAGGTAATTCTAATAAATTTTGTGCTAGAGTTGTAAACTTTGTCACATATGATGTGGTTGATGACTAGCAACTTATATTTCAAGTTTGAAGATAATACCTTAAGAAATAAATAACTTATAGTGAAAAAACTTAAAAAACTAGAATCAGAAATCTTGAAATTCAGTCCATTTGTTTCCATAGCAACCAGAATTTTCAACATAGGAAGATAAGAAAAGGATGTGCATAATTTCCAGACTGCCATCTACCCATATGTAAAGTTTCATAAAAATATTTTCAGTACTTTTTGCGTTATCACTGGATCCAGGTTTTGTGTAAAATTTGCCATATTTTCAGTCTATTTGTTGCCATAGCAACCAGAATTTTCAGGACAGGAAAAAAAGAAAAAGACGTGCATAATCTCCATACTGCCATCTATCCATATATCAAGTTTCATAAAAATATTTTTAGTACTTTTTGCGTTATCGCGGGATCCAGGTTATGTGTAAAATTTGCCATATTTTCAGTCGATTTGTTGCTATAGCAACCAGAATTTTCAACATAGAAAGAAAAGAAAAAGACGTGCATAATCTTCATACTGCCATCTATCCATATATCAAGTTTCATAAAAATATTTTCAGTACTTTTTGCGTTATCGCGGGATCCAGTTTTGTGGACGGACGGACTGACGGAAGGACGGACAGACAGACGGACGGAGGGTAAACCTAAAGTCCCCTCCGGTAAACCGGTAGGGGACTAACAACAGATTGCATGATAAAATGATATTGAAATAATTAATATACATTTGGCTCTTAGTGCCAAGCTTACTGATTGAGTCCTTGAGTCCTTGTGTTGGCCTTTAAACATGTCAAACATTTAGAAAGTATTTATTAAGGGAAAGTGTATACAAATAATCATGTACCTCTTCATTATATGCCCATGACATTGAAAAAACATTGTGTCATCTGTTTACTTCAAGGTTAGTCACATTGACAGTATCACATTTTAGACTTTATCTCTCTTGATGCATTCTCAAAATGAGTCCTCTTAATTTCACACTCATCAATCTGACAAAAACCTCCTGAAAAAGAAAAGTTAGAAACATATGCCACTAATTATGTCAGTTTAAATGTCAAATAAATACTTTGAGAAACTATTTGGTCAAAATTGTAAAATGCACAAAGATTTTCAAACCATGAACATTTCCTTTTTAACTTTCTAACATATATAATGTATGGTCTTACTTGAAGAAAATGTTTGCCCGGAACTGAACACTACCAATTTACCATCTTTTTGGTACCACTGAAAATAGATAGTAAAAGGCCTTAATCTTTTTATTCTAAAATAACAGTTAAAATATCATCTTAGAAATTATGACTAATAAGCATGTTAAAAAAGTGAGAAGAGGCAATTTTTTGAGTCATTCCAAACAGAACTTATGTAGAAATGACTGACCAATACAGTTAATTCATATGTACTATTGAGCAAATGTTATTTACACAATTTATGGAAATTGTAACTAATTATTAATTCAATATTCATCACTCCACTTAGTGTGAAATAATTTATTCAAAAGACTTGCATTCAAGTATGATATAAAATGTATAAAGGTTTATGGTCAGAATAATAAGATTCTAGTGTACCAAATTTTTGCACTTTATTCATAGGCAAGCCGCAATAAATATGATCAAGACAGCTGCCATAATCAGTAGTTACTGAACAGAACAGAACATATATTTTATTTTGAATTAAGCATATACAGCTCATCTTCATATACAACAAATATATACATGCATGAATATGAAAAATGGTAAACGCATATCAATAAATGAAATAAATAAATGAAATAAACTAGTGAGAGTGTAATACAACACATGTAATATTTACAATCCTTATATAACTTTAAACAATACAACAAGGTGGTCTTATATAGCATTATCCGGCATTCAATGAATCGAATCTCAATTTAAACGCTTTATTACAATATATAGCTAATTTTGTTAACACTGACTTCCTTTCTGAATTCAGCAATTCTAAAAATTTAAACATACTAGGGTTTCTTGTAAAATATTTGGATATATACTGTTTTCTAAGAGAATCATACAAAGTACAAATCAATACAAAGTGATATTCATCTTCGATGTCATTATTGTTGCAAATAGTACATTTCCGGTCATTTCTATCAATATTATTGTGTCTACCTGTTTCTATTAATAAATTGTGAGATGATAATCTAAGTTTAGCTAATATATTTCTTAATTTCATAGAGTCAACAATATCCAGGTATTTAGACCTGCTAAAATCGGTTTTGATATGTTTATACAAATACAAAGAAGAACAAAATATGTACACTAGAATGCCAATTTGTGATATAAATATCTTTTAAACGACCATGTAGGACTGGTATTAATATATTTAGCTTAACTGATTCTGGATACATCCACACATCATTAAATCCAGCACTTTGCAAAAGTGTTTTTACTTTAGACAACCAATTTACAGTATTAGACTTTGACTCTATCTCCAATCTCTGACAATTAACAATATAATTTAATATACAATTGCTTGTTTTATTTTGGTATAAATTTTATAAAATATTTAACAATTCTTACATGACGTGAAATATATAATGGAAATCGGCCTACTTCTGCAAACAGTGAAAGAGTATTTGTTGACATTTTCACATTAAGCAACCATTTACAGAACTTCCTATGTACAATTTCCAAATTTTCCGATGGTAGGCTACCCCATACCTCGCAACTATAATTTAAAATTGGTAGAACATATGCATCAAACAGGTTGAACATAATATCAATGGGAACTTGCTTATCTCGTGTTACATTAAATAATGAGCTCATAGCCCGTAGTGCTTTGCCTTTTAGTGTGTTGGTCGCTGGTATGAACGAACTTCCGCTAGACAAAACAATACCTAGGTAATTAAACGTTTTTACAATTTCTATATTTAAACCCCCATATATCCACTTATAACTTTTATTTTAAAACTCCGCCCTTTCTAAAAACAACAATCTTAGTCTTATCTACGTTAACAGTAAGATGCCATTTGTTACAAATATTTTTCTAAACTATTTAATGAATTTTTGTAAACCTTGAGCAGATTCAGAACAGATAATGGCGTCATCTGCAAATAATAGCAAATAAATCGATATTTGATCTAATGTTTATACCATCATCTAAATTTTCTTGTAATAAATTTTCTAAAATCATTCAAAAAGAGACTGAACATTATTGGTGAAGTTATCTCACCTTGAAAGAGACCCATTTCACTACTGAAAAATTCAGACAACGTATTTACATGTTTTACACACAATTTAACATCTTCATACATTGAATATATTACAGAAAACAATTTGCCATCAATACCACATTTTATCAGTTTATACCATAGGCAGTTCCTGTCAATTAGATCATATGCTTTTTTAAAGTCAATAAAACAGCAAAATAGTTTCTTCTTATCATTGATAAACCTTTCGATCAAAGAATGTAATATAAAAATAGCATCTACAGTGCTATAATCTGCTTTAAACCCAAACTGGGCATCCGTAATTTTGTCATTTTCTACAGACCATTTCTTCAGCCTGTTATTTATAATCACTGTGTGAAAAATTTAGCAAAACAACTTGTTATCGTAATTCCCCTATAATTACTCGGGTCTGTTGAATCACCCTTTTTATGTAAAGGAATAATAATACCGGATGACCAACATTTTGGGAAAGATCTACTATCAAGAATATAATTAAAAAGCAATTGTAAAGGATTCACAATATCATTTATACATGATGTAAAGTACTCGTATAAGATGTTATCAGCAGAACAAGCTTTATTACTACCTAAGCTTTTTGATGCTAGAATAATCTCTTCCACAGATATCGGTTTATCAAGTTCTTCAAATGTAGCATTGTTGCCTTCTGATTCTAAGAATGTTTTTACAAAGTCATCGCAATCATTATTAGTTTCACGTTTATCATGATTTGTAGAAAGATTTTTAAAATGATCATAAAAAGAGTCAACTGTTATTTCTTCACCCCGATTTCCTGGCGATTTCTGTTTAAAAGTCTTCCAGAATTCACGTGGTGATTTATGTTTTTATTGTATTTAGAGATTGGGCAAATGTTTATTATAATTATTTTTACATTTACGACAATAATATTTATAGTCCTTTTTCTTGGTATAAACGTTCATTCTTTTCTCATCATTTGGGTTGATATTATATTCATACATTGCCTTCTTAAACAATTCATGTTTTTCTTTGCACACTTCGTTATACCACTTTTGCCTGTTTACGTCTGTACCAGTAAAATACACAGTTTTACTTTTTGTGCAGCGTTCAAAGTATTTCTTCCCATTTAAATGTAGAAAATCTGTGAATTTATTTACTAGTATATCGGGTACTTCTCCATTAGAAACATCATTTAACAAACTGTTTTCTAAATCAATAATGCCGTGTCTAACGTCATTTACAAAAGCATCTTTATATTCATTATTCCACTTGTAATACGTATGTTTTTTTGGAAGATGTACTTGATAGCTCAGTATTAATACCGAATGAGAACGAGATTGGCGCATGATTTGAAAAGGTATTGAAATCTGTAACATTAAAACTGACAATGTCCTTAAAATTACCCTCTTCCGTCAAAACATAGTCGACTAGACTTTCTCCGTTGTGTGTCATACACGTCCGCTTACCGATACCGTTATCGTTATGTAGTCTTCCGTTAACAATACGTATATTGGTTGATTTACATAAATCAATTAACAATTCTCCAAATCTATTCGCTGTTACGTCACACGTTGCGCGCGGGAGCGCCGAGTCAATATCAAATGTATCATCGTTTCCTATTATTCGATCGTTATCAATATAATCATGTTTTTTACCAACCCTAGAGTTAAGGTCGCCCGAAACAAATACTTTTCCTAATGTGCTATATCTATTTATATCATTTTCAATTTTTCTAAAAATATCAACGTCATACGTATTGTGAATAGGAGAATTTTTCTGGCGCTATATAGGTTACTGCAAGATATATGTCTTTTTCTATTTGAAAAAAATGTTTTATCCAGTTTTAGCCAAATTAAGCAATCAATGTCATTTTTGAACAACTTTAACCCCCTTACGGCAATTATCCTTTATATAAACTATAAGTCCCCCGCTAGATCTTCGTGCCCTCCTATGCTGAAAGCGTCTGTATGAATGGATCGGATTACTGTATCCGTTAAGGTCAATTTTCGACTTTTTGTTAGTCCAGGTTTCCGACAAGCATATAATATCAAAGTCTTTCAATACAGCTAAAAACTCGGACGAAGATCGTTTTGCCTCGCTAAATCCTTCAACATTCCATGACACACAATTCAGAACACTCTCACGTGTAACCTATTTCGTACCGTTACCGTTGTATAATTGCTTATTGATGTACAGCTTGTCAACCTTCAAAAATGCCTCATCACCGTTTTCCCGTGCTTTTTTCATGATTGGGATTAACTGTTTTCTAGTCTCTATGATTTCACGGGGAAATTGTTCGCTGATCCCGAACGGTGTGCCGTTTAATTGTTTTGATGATTTTCTGACCTTCTCCCTGTCTGGAAAATATGCAAACGTTGCAACTATAGGTCTTATTTTCTGGTGGCTATATTTCCCTATTCTATGAGCTCTATGAAGTCTAATGTTCGATTTTGCGTCATTGATTTTCAGCTTATCTTCTAGGAAGGATAATATCTTGTCCTCACAGTTTTCATCTTTCTCTTCACAAAGGTTATAGAATATCAAATTATCTCTCATACTTCTACATTTTAGGTCTATAATTTCAGCTTTCAAGTCATCTTCTGAGCTTTTTTGTTCACTCTTTTTCATAGACTGTATCATTTTTTCGAGCTCATCCTGCCTTTTGTTTATACTGTCTAATAAACTGCTGTCAAAGGCTCGGCTGTTTTCAATGTCCTGGATTTTGGATTCTATTACATTTATCTGCTTGCTCATAGTGTCTGACTTTACCGTTAACGAGTTCACACTAGACTGAATAGTTTCTAAATGGCTGAGTTTCTTGTCCATCGAATCTAATCTTTGTATAATAATGGTCATCATATCACTTTGTGTATTCACGTTTCGAGGTGAAGTTTCTGGTGAGAATAATGGTGACGCTGAATTCATTGCCATATATTGATTATTACAGCTTTGATATGGTAGTTGGGGTGGTAAACAAAAGTTATGACTTGCCTGGTATTGACTACCGGTCATATTTGGTGTACCCATTTGAATTCCTCCGCCATTTTGTTCCATTGTGTTTGAACGTTTTGTCACAGATTGCACGTTACCCGGTGATTCTTTTGTCTTTTTACGTTTTCTGGGCATTTGAAACTTTTAATACAGTTACAATACTTCCATACATACACTATTTTAACAATAATCCGTCTGATTTAGAGATTTAATCCATTTTTTCTCAATTTTTTCCAAGAGCTTTTCAAAATTTGCTACCATTTTTCACGCATGCGCAATATATCACTGAATCAATGAGTTGAACTGAACTGAGTACTTCCTGTATAATTTTAGCAACTGGTTTGTTTTCAGTGTAATCATAATTGAAATCTCCCATTAAAATACGCTTTTTTTAAAATTCCAGTCACTTTAAACTCTTTTGAAACAATTTCCAAAATATTGAATAGAAACCCTGAAAAATATGCAACAGTAGCACACCTTGGAGGACAATAAACAAATCCAATAACTATGTCTTGTAAACACAGTAAAGCACATTCAATGTCAGAATGAGTAATACAAGTAAAATGACAGACATTAATATTTTCCTTGTAATAAATTGCTATCCCATGTGAGGCCTGACCCAAATTGGAACGAAAACCATCTATGCTGTACTGCTCAGATAAAGGACCAGTTAATCTAGTTTCTACTTGCTGGCGTAGTGAGCGCCCTACACGGAAACCCTTAGTTGGTTGGTGTGTGTGGGATACTGGTGTATCATTATTCAGTTTTTTTTTTGGTTAAATGATGGTATTTTATAACACAAAAGTTCAGTGTTGATGTTATTTTATTTATTTTTTTATAGTTAATTGTAAGTTTTTAAATACAAAATAATTATATAGTTTACATATATATTTTTACAGCTAGTACCTGAATTTTGCTTAAGTTAGTTTTACTTATTTGCTTTTTAAGTTAAGACTTGATGTTATATGTTTAAAATTCTAGATAAGACTTAAGATGTTGTATGTTTCCAAATTAGAATAAGACTATTAGATGTTTTAAGTTTTGAAATTATTAATGTTTTTATAATTAATTTTCTAAAAGCATTTTGACGAGGAAATGCTATGTTACACATGACCTGTTTTTACCTTAACGGCCTGTATAATTATGTTTCACAGCTTCTCAGCAAACAACCAACTGTACCACAATTGAAATCTAACAAACAAGCCTTTAATCACACACCTGAAATAAAAACTTTTCATAATTAATACAATATTTCTTTTAATTTATTACATTCTTCAATGAAACATTAAGAAATATTGATAAAGTAAAATGTTCATTTTCATTTCCTGTATTTTCAATGTAAATATTCATTTCTCATTGCATATTTTCACAAGTGTCTACACACAATAGACTGTAAAGAATAATAGGGCAATCCGGGTCAGCTCAGCCCTAAAACATACTCGGCCCCCGAGTCAGCTCGGCCCTATTCCAACTCGGCACGGGTCAACTCGGCCCACTTTTAAAAATGGGTAAAAGACTCCTATTGTTACGGGCTATTATTATCAATCAATGTGTATGTTAAAGATACCAATTAATTAGGTGATAATTATGATTGACTCATTCATTCAAATTTGATTTAATAAGTAACCACCTGCAATTAATTAGAAGCTTATGATATTAAGTAAACACGTTTTTGTTTCATATTTTTTTGAAAATTTCTTAACGTCTTTACAAACAAAATGCATCTAAGGAAACGCATTTTTATTATATGTATATTACTTTTATCGAATCTGCAAGACAAATAAATAACTTTTTTTTCTAAATATACTGTATATACTTTATTTCGGCAGAAGTACAACGTATAATTATATAATGATAATAATAAGATATTTCTTATTATTTATTTACCTAAACAACATGCAAAGCAAAGTAAATACGTTATATATATTTTAGTTAAGTGGGCCGAGTTGACCCGTGCCGAGTTGGTATAGGGCCGAGTTGACTCTTTTCCAGACATTCAAGGGAAAGAACTGCTAAAATTTGATAAGGTCAATTCAGTACAAAAAAAGCTTCACCCGATAATGGCCGATTGTGAAGAAAATTTGTAAAAAAATACAGCTTTTGAATGCAACTTAAATATCAACGTTATGAAATACAAACATGAACATCAGTCATCTTGAATAACGTTGTATTTTTTGTAAGCAGCCAGAATCGCCGAATTATGCGAATACATGTATGTTTCTGCAACGATTTGACGACGATTTCGCCACTGATAAATGCAAAACAAGCAAAGTTATTCAACAGTTAGGTAAAAGGGAGATAGGTTTTTGTAATATAAAACTTACAACTCGTTTTAACACGTGGAACTTCTATATTAACAGCAAAACTTCTCAATCTTTCACGGATGAACTTGTAAACAATGGCGATTGCGGGAAAATGACATATATGGCACAAGGGCGAAAATAGTTCGTATTCATACGCATGCAATGTTTTTCTTAAATTTACACTTATAAATGAAGCATTAGGCCCTATAAGCTTTTAACTTAGCTGATCTGAAATCCGTATTCCATTACTTGCTAAATTTTTGAGTTCTATGACACTTAATTAACTTGTGACTACATGTAATTTGTACTATATTTATGCAAGTACTTTGGCTATGATCGACCGCTGGCGTAGTAATATTAAAATCGCGTAAAGCAAAAATATACATACAATTTTAAAAGACGATTGCAAAATTTAGTACGTAATTGGCCAGTTAATTTTAAAATAGATAGGGAACTATGATTTTGGGAGTTACTGCGAAGTTTTGGAACTATTTTTTGCTTAGCGTAGGTAGCTGACTAATTGTGTTCAAACCATAGTAAATCTGAATTTGTCGTTATTCCATTGGGGGCGCATTGCGCATGCGCCCCCAAAAACGAGCGATAATGTGACATCGCGACAACACGCCGCACAACAACGCGCCGTTTGGCGTGCGGCGCTTTGCCGTGTTGTTGCTAGCGCCAACGAAACGCACAAAAGCGTACCAAATCAGCCACCATAAATAACTAACTGTATAAATGGAACATGTGTTCACCTTCTTTATGCGTGCCCATTGCATTTTTAAAAGTTAAAAAGTTACGTAGATAGCATGTTACTTTATGATTAATAGGTGAATAATATTTTGAAAGGAATTAAAGTTTGTGAGTAATTAATTGATACTATATCTAGATATAGACATTTACTCGTTTGGGGACATGTGAAAAATAAGAGGAAATGTCACACAAACAAGGTAAGGGAAACTTGTACAAAATACTTTTACATATTCTTGAGTGTTTATTGCGCAATACTTGTGAAATACAAGTTAATATTGAAATTCGTTGTTTAAAGACGTTTCCGGGAGTAGTCACTGCGCACATAAGCCGCGCATGTCACTTTCCGTTACTTGTTATTTATTTCGTTTTTTTTGCGTTGGGTTTAATTAAAGTTGAGTAGTCTTCGGATAAAAAACACAATTACATTTAATAAGTGTCAAAATCAAATATAAATCGTCGTTTAAAATGTCTTTGCGAAATAGTAGTAAGTCAGGTTCCTTTATTTCAAAGAAACGATCAGAAAGTATCGGAAATATCAAGTTTTTTGCCAAGTCGCATGTACCGGAGAGTAAAAATGACTGCGTAACAGAAGTCAACGCTGATTCGGACGAATCATTTCAGTGTTCTGTTGACAACAATGTGGATGAAATTGGTGTCGATGTGCCATCTTGGAGAGAAGGTCGTAAATAGTTGAACTAGGATATTTAGCGGACAAGTTAAAGTGCACTGAGTGCAGTGAAAACCTTATTCTAAGTAACATTTCAAGGGAAGTGAGATATGGATATGGGTCTCTGCTATATATAGACTGTATATGCGGTGTTTCTAATTCTGTCGAGACGAGTAAACGTCACCGTGTAAACAAAAAAGGACCGTATTATTGAAAGTGTTTTCAATTATGTACATAAAATTGTGTAAATCCAAACGAAAATATACAAAAAAAGTATATTACTGAAAGGAATTTCAGCAGAATTTTCAAACATAAGTTGAAGTGTAAATTATAATTAAAAATTTTGACTCACTATTTTCTACCAAAACATTTGTGACATCATGATTTGTTGATATTATGTGGCATTTGACTATTTAAAAAAAAAGTATAAAAGCATGTAATGAATAGAAAAAAATTGCTTTATATCATATTTCATATTGTTTTTTTTCTCATGAATACAAGTTGTGAACATCTCATTGAAAGATGTAATAATAACTGAAACAAACAAAAATCATGTTTGATTATTTATTTTATATGAAGAATAACAATTATTTTTTTTAAAGAAACATGTAAGACAAGGAAATCTAGTCCTCATGGTGTTGAAAAATTATGAAAAATAGATACATTATAAAATGGCTATTTTTTACGTATAAAGGGAGGTAATAAAACTGTTTTGTTTTCTTCCAAAACAAGTATGAAAAGACAGCCACTTCTATTTTTATGCAGTCTTAATAATGTATTATTTATTTTAAAACTTTACATTCTGTACCCTTTATAACTGCTACAAATCATGAAAATGATCATTTAGCCACATTTTACTATTAAGGGGAGGTAATAACTTGCCATTTTACTCAGAAACGAGCATGGTAAGGCATATATTTCTTTGTATTTTCTGTAAGCATATATAATTAGCTAATTGAATTAGAAATATGGACAAATTCTCTGCGTTAGAATTTATTTTACAGACAAAAATGTCAAAATTTTGTCTGTTTATCAACCCTTAGGTTTAAGATTTTAGACATAAATTCCATCATTTTTTACCCAAAATGTACTGATTTTTATATCTGTTGTATTTTAAAATGCTCAATAAATATAATTTGAAGAAGAAATCATGACTTTTATGTATATTTCTTGTCTTTTATTACAATTATTGATTATAATTGTCTGAATATCATTTTTTAAAGACATACAGAGTAATGGCCCTTGAAAAAGCGACATTGTGAAAAAACGAGCATGGTGACCCCTATTTTTTTAAACCTGATTTTTGTTCTATGTAACCCATAGAACATATGTACAAAAAAAAAGAAAAAAATCTCCGCGTAGAATCTTACTCCAGGATATGTCTTAAATTAGCTGAAATTCTGAAATCATGAATTCACGAAATTGAAATCATGACAGTCAACACATTATTGAATGAAGTTGAATTCATGACGTTTAAATCGTTATACTGAACCCGTACAATCGTCAATTCGTAAAGTTGAAATCGTTAATTCATTAAGTTGAAATCTTGAATTCATGAAGTTAAAATCGTGAAATTTATTTGTTGAAATCGTGAATTCGTATATTTTGAATGTTTAAATTGTGAATTCGTGAAGATGAACTCGAGATGAGTATTTAAATCATATGTCAATGCCACTCCACACCTAATACACCAAACATTTTCATCATTTTTAACTCAAGGCTGGAAAAGAACGGTAAGGTATTCCTGAACAATAACTTTTTTCTTTACCAAACCGTTGTTATGTTATGTTACATTGGCTTTTTCCTTTATAAGATAAGTTCGTGCATATATGCATTTTCTATCAAGCTGTCCTTCTTTCCTTAAGTTCTTTAAGCCAGGTACGTGCGCACGGTACCTTTAATATATTTGCCGCACGTGACCACCGTGCAATATCGTACAGTAGGTGCACAGGTTTCACACGTGACAAGGTGTCCGCATGGTAAGAAAACTATACAAACGTCATTAACATGACACTTTGTACATAAAGATTGTTGTTTTAACATATCATTTTCCTCCTTTAGCCTTTTCTGTTCCCTAAGATGTGCATCACCTGTAGGGAAAATAAAATACGATTGATGTCTTTTATATTCCAGAAGAAAAACGGCCATAAATGGCCAATCAAATGATTCATTTGAACGAAAATTATGGTATTTTTTGGTTGTTTATTTATTGTACATTTGTTTGAAAACATGTCACTTTAAACTGAATAAAATAGCATTGCTAGATAATTGTATGCAAATAAATTTCTTAGCAGTTAGATTTGGTTGTTTTTATATCTTGATTTTTTTTTTCCAAAAAAGAAAACAACTTTATTACTTGTTATTGTACTGTTAAAAATGCAAACACAAGAATTAAGAAATTCAAAAATTCTGTTAATTAAGATTTATATCTTAAAAATTTCTTACGGCTTGCGTGACTTTCACGTGTCGTCTGCTTTGAATTTGCCCGTTTACTTTCGTCTGACGACACGTTCTGTTGTTTGCCTTGGCTTTCATTACCATTTACATTCCCAGAACAAGTTTTGTCGTCATCATTATGACGTGTCGCAGTTTCCGGTTGGTTTTCAGACGAACCATTATTAAGCAGTTTCTCGTTACCCTTGGCAACAGCACCACTAACATTTTCTAAAGGGGCGCTTTGAGGAGTTGCGCTTTCGTGTCTATTTTCTAAACCTTGTATTTCCTGTGTTGTTGTGTTAAATGTTTCATTTTTACTTTTGCGTGATTCTGCGTTTGCAGGTACGCGAGCTTCTGCGTTTGCAGGTACGCGAGCTTCTGCGTTTGCAGGTGCGCGTGCTTCTACGTGTGCAGGTGCGCGTGCTTCAGTGTTTGCAGGTGCGCGTAATTCCGCATTCTCATGTGCAGTATTTCCTTGAGATTCAGAGTCTTCAATTTCAAAGATTTTCTCCATTATGTTTGTAGCTGTTAAAATTCCATGTCCTAATAAAGATATAAAGAAATAAAATTAAACATTTTATTTTGTTAAAAAATTTTAATCGTACAATATTTTCACATACATGAGAAATAAGCACAACTTGGGCAATTCCTTAAAGACAAAAAAATTAAATTGATGTAAATCAGCGACTGGAGTGGATAATGTTATAATAAAAATATAAATAATTTGTTTCAATAGAAAACAACATAGCTTCGATCTAGAAATTAGAAATAAGTATAATTTAATAATTTTGATGTTTGTATTTCTATAAAATCATACTAACGAATTGTTCAAAACGTATTCACTATGAATGTTTATAAAAGACTACCAACAGCTACTACTCTGAATGATGTTTTATTTCAGAAGTTCCAAATCAATTAAAAAGAACTCTCACATTGTAGTTCAATCAATTATGGACCCATAATCTTACCTAGCAAGCATTATATTGCGTTTCATTTGGGAAAGAACGTATCTCAGCTTTTTGTTGACTATTAACGAACATTGCTTGAGAAAGTTTACAAAGCAAACGCTTTAATCGCAGTTTGTTTTAAATTCATTAAATTTTAAAAGAAAAAAAAAACCAGAAAAACAAAGCAATCTTGACAATTTTTTATGCAAACCTGTTGAGGACAGGACCATTCTGATAGCTCTTCTAATGACGTCAGGATGATAACCCATCTCCAAGACGCTTTGTGCAGCGTTTGTGTGCATCAGTCTATCTATGTCTGCAGACGCATTTCCGGAACCTCTGCCTGCTGATATGCAAAGTTTCGTTACGTTAAGTTAAAGTATATGTAAGGAAGTTATCAAATCAATATATGAAGGTAGATCTATTTAAAACTAAACGAAAGAATTATTTAAACAAGGCTCAGGTTTAAATCTCAGAAAAAAATGATATTGTTTTATTTTTATTATTTTTTTAATCCAAAACATATTAAGTTGAATGTCTAGTTCTAATAACCACAAAAATTTCAATGTATCGATTAGCATATGAAGTTATGTCCAATTCTTTTTAATTCTTGTATTACTGTGCTTTCAAAACGTTATTATTTAAAGAAAAAAAAGTAACATTTGCCTTCAGTTCCTTGTGTTGAAATTGCTTCATTTTCGGTTTGCTTAAAAATACAGAAATATATTTATGAAAATATCTAAATATGTTTTATCTATTTTAGGTGAATTTTTTTCTAAGAAATTTGCATAGGTTGAACGCTCGTGCCTGATACTTATCTCAAATCGGGTTAACATAATTCCAAAGAGAAATATTACCAGAACGTTATTTGGTGTGTTGACGTCATAAATAACGTCATAGCTATGACGTCGTATGAAATAATAATGTTTTTCAATCTATAATACTACGTATATTTACACTATCAAAAGACTTAAATACAATAATATGTTCGATACCGACGTAGATCTGATCGATTATAAAAAAAAAACTTGCATGTTTTCAATTAAAAATCACATAATTATATTCATACATCTTGAACATATTTTCATGTATTTTTAGATGGTATGAAAAGTATTAAAAATATAAATTAAACATATACGTTTTGTGAATACTGAACAGCCATCTGCACGATATTCACGAACTCTCTTCCTCTAATCTGTCGTACGTATGAACATTCATTTGACCATCTACTATGTTCTATCCATGGATCATCTTCCTCCGACCAATGACGTAATCCTGTAAATATCAATATTATAAAGGAAAATCCAAATGAATCGGTAAACATCGACTAATTCCGGGCAAAAACGTTATGAACCGCTTTTGCCTACTTCCGGTAGTCTTCGACTTCATTTCTGTCAAAATTCAAATTTTGAAGAAGAAAAAAACTTTCCCCGTTATGACGTCATGATTTGAAAAGCGGTCCCATTAATGTCAAAATCTATTGGTTCTACTTTAATTTGTATACATCACTAATTTTTATTCCCTACAAAGCGCCTAGGTTGAAATTATAAAAAGATTGAAGAAATACAAACAAACTTTGAAGGACAACCTTGGTTTCAACTCAATAAAGACAAAGGAAGGGATACAACCAGTATATTCTAAATTAACGAATCAGTACAAGTTATTTCCCTTTTCTGTTCTATACAAAACTGCTTACTGTCGATATGCAGTAACTCAAAATATGACATCACAATCTTGACGTTGTTGTTTCAGCGAAATAAAACCATTTGTCCTTGACCTATTTTTGTCTTATAAGACTTTTAAAGTGATTTTTCCATTAAAGCATATTTATTTTGGTTTTATTTACTTTGTTCTTTATCAACTGTTAGTTGTCTTAAAATAAAACAACATATAACTGGACTATTCGTTGTCATAGAAACAATGTTTTAAAACAGTTAATGGGATATAGATATAGATACAGAAATGGAAGGACAAAGAATGGTTTTAAAATATTTAAAACTCGAATGTGAAACAAGTTTATGTAATTTATATTAATCACTTCTGAGTTCATTTCCTGGAACCAACTAGTACTGGTGTCATTTAAAGAAACATGGTCGTGGCTCGATTAGGGCTCGAACCCATGATTTGCCACTTGGACAAAGACTAAGCAAGAACTGTACACAAGCACAAGCTGTCAATTATCAAAATTGAAAAACACGAGTCGATGTTTTCTAAAAATGAATGTATTTTACATCTGCGATTCAGTTATATATATTATACAAAATCAAAACAAAATGTAAACTCTATTGAATGGGGTATTAATTTGAACTTACCGACTCCACATTGGAAACACCGGACACAATCCCCAAAACCAGCGTAGAAGAAGCCGGCCTGTGCGAGGCGGTCTGGTGGGACGACGATGTCCCCACAATCATTAAAGCTCGACAACCGAGATGTCGTGCTGATATACTTGGGGTATTTTGGGGTCACAGACGAAGATACGCTTCCTATAAAAAATGAAACACAGTTATAGAAATTTATATATAAAAAACAACAACAAAAATACAAAAAAAAAACTAAATTAAGTCTAGGAAATTAGATACATATATATATTATGAACTTTGTTGATGTTTGTTTTTTTTTTCGTTTTGTTTTTCTTTCGTTTTGTTTTGTTTTATTGATGTTTTATAATTCATTGCACTTTCTGATATTGTTGGACAAAAGAACATGTGAATGTGACTAAAGTACCACTACCTGTAGAATTATTTGAAGACTGGTTGTCTGTAGTTGTTTGCGGAACATCAACAGGAAGTAGTGAAACAGACTGGTTCCCTCCTCTTGATGAAAGCACATTGCTTGCAAAAGATGAGTTTTCAGAGTTTTGATTCGTTTGAATTCGTGAACCAGTCTCAACTGCAGACGACACATTCACTTCAGTTAATTCATTACGAAAATTAGTGTTAGACTGGCCTCTATTTATTGTTGACAGGTTTGAGTGAGATTCTGTTGTAGAGCTTTCAATACTTTGTCTGACTGAGACATTAACTTCAGAATTACGAGTGAGAAAGCTGCAGTTTGGATTTAATTCTCTATGTACTTCGATAGGATTTTCGAATTCTGTCCAATTTCTTCTACGTCGCGCGCAACAATAGCAGACGACTTCATCGCCTTCGTTTGCGTAATAAAATCCTGCAGCAGCCAATCTGGTAATATAAGGTTTGTTCCCTTTTGGAAAAGATCGAAGGGTGCAAAACCTTAACATTTCATATTTCATAGTAGTCTGTGGCGGAACTCGTTGTCCGTCTGCTATTTTGTTAATAACTGTCATCATAGGTTCAAAACTAAATGTTGAGTTTGATGAAAGTGTTGTGGTCTGTTGCTCAGATGAAGTCTGCTGCACGCATGCTGTCTGCTGTTCAGATGTCGCAAGTTGCTCAAATAGCGTCTGCTGCACAGATGACTGCTGTACAAATGTCGCGTGCTGCTCAGATGTCGCATGCTGCTCAGATGTCGCGTGCAGCTCAGATGACGTCTGCTGCTCTGGAAGCGTCTCTCCATTTGGTGTCGTCTGCTCGTTCTCAGATTGGGGCTGGTGCTCAGCTGTGGTTTGTTGCGCATCTAAAGTAGAATGATTCCTTGACGTCTGTTGATTTGATGTCGTCTGCGAAGAGGACGCTGACATAAGTGTATTTTGATATCAGTTATATATACCAAACCCTAAATTTCACCGAGAAGTAACGGAAACCTGCTCGTTTCAAGGTTCTCCTTTTATATATTCATGAAAAAATGTTCTTTTGATTGAATCTAAGACTTAACGTCTGTATCGTTTAAATCTTTATATTGGCACGGAATGTAATACGCTGGTATATAATCCGTTTTATTCCGATAATATATATCGCCACCATTAGCAACATAAGCCAATATCTCCACGCCTTTCCACTATTCTTGCCCCTCTGTACGTTTCGTACGGACATGTAGATGAACAAGTGTCCAGTGTACCGGCCTGTATGTACCTTCAATAAGTACATCTAGATCACGTCTACATTTAAAAGTGAACACAATTTGTCATCTGAGCCTGAGAAAACTTATACGACTTTGTGACGAAAGATACTTTCCTAAAAAAAGAAAAAGACAAATTCTATAAGTTTGAATATACACAAGGCCTACTTTGACTCTTATTCTAACTGTCTGCTCAGCCTCAATTTTCTTGAATACTAGTACTGAAATTTCGTTTATTTTTATCTCAAGAAATCTAAATGTGAAATCTAAGTATACCCTAGAGCTTAAGAATCCAAATCTAACATCTATATAAAGACCTTGAATGACTTTGAATATGAATGATATAATCAAGTGACTTCATGAATCGGGTAAATATTTACACCAGCTGCATGGGCAGCGTTTTACTAACGTACTTACGCCTAAGATTTGCGTAAGTTTTAACTTACGTAAGATTTTTTTACGTAAACTTTAAGGTGTTTTACTAAAAATTTGCGTAAGTAAGAATTTCGTAAGTTTTAACTTACGTAAGATTTTTTTACGTAAACTTTAAGGTGTTTTACTAAAAATTTGCGTAAGTAAGAATTTCGCAAGTTTTTACGTAGAGTTACGCTTAAATTTTGTTGACTTAAAACTTACGTTAGTAAGACTGACATCATCTATGAATAATGGCAGAGAAGGAAAACGAGAATTTTAGAGACAGATGTGACTGGTTATATATTTTCATGGTGAAAGCGGCTTTAGAAAAGTAAAGTCTAAGTAAGGAAAAGATAATGTGGCATTACGGACTTGTTGCTTTAAGGACTAAGTCTTGTTGAAAATAAAATTAAGTAAATAAAAAAAACATATACGAATATGGAAGTCATCCTATCAGCTTAAAGACGAAAGTCTTTAAACTATTATCTTCTTCCCCAAAAATACCCATACCGCCCTTAGTCGTGGTTGACATCGACCCAGAGTAATTTGAATCAGTTATTAAATGTTTTATATTATTTTAACATATTAAATATAGATTTATTAAGAATTTTATAAATTACATAAATTATAATGTTACTTGTAAACTGAAACTTATTTAATTTCATTTGTTTAATACTTTATCAACTAAGTGAAGACGGGATAGGATAGTATCTAAAAAGATGATGAACTTTATGTGTGCATTAAATTGTATAATATGCAAATGTACATAAAATTATCTGTTGCAGTTGTTTTTATGACAAATATTCAGATATCATTACTTCACTAAAATACTTAATAGTTACACTGCAATGATGACTACAAACTTTAATAGCTTTTGTTTGCATGTGGCATTTTTGTGTCATCTTTTTTACGCATGTTTTTCGCATGGCGAAAATCGTTAAAAATCAAGAGGTTTTCTTAAATTTATAGGATGAATGAATAAGTACAATAAAGATAATAATAAATAAACAAAAAATATTTTAAAATGTGGGTTACGTGAATAAGCTAAACACTTCATTTAACAAGAGCTGTCGGTAGGACAGCACGCTCGACTATTCTAAGTGCTTGATAGTAAAAGAGCCTTGATAATGTAAATTTTTTTAAGTTCACAAAAGGGCTATTTTTTTTAATAAATTCATGTTATAAGCCTTAGAGAGAGTCTAATTATACAGTATTGGCTTGACTTTTCGGAAGGTAATGTCACAAGGGTGTTTTATTGAGTAAAATAATACTAATTACCTATGAATACATAAATTTGACAGAAAAGGTACAAAGGCTTGTTATTAAGATGTTTTATCAAGTAAATCACTGCTTTATTATTATGAATGCATAAAATTGTCCCAAAAAAGGCACAAACCCTTCAGTAGTTATTGAGATAACAGCTCACAAGCAAAACTTTACCATGAATTTCTAAGTTGAAAAAGGGGAGAAAAATCAGCCTAAATGCATGATAGAATTATGGATCTTTGTCAGTGACCTACAATTATGACCCTAAATGCATATGTGAAGTTTTAAATAAATATCTTTAATAGTTATTGAGATATGTTAAACTTGCATGCTAACATTAACCAAGAGACTAAGTAGAAAAGGGGATATGAATCAGCCTTAATGCAAGATAGAGTTATGGAACTTGGTCAGTGACATACAATTATGACCCTACAAATATGACCCTAAGTGCATGTGTAAAGTTTCAAGTAAATATCTTTGAAGACCTTTAACCTTTAACCAGAATTTCTAAGTTTCAAAGGGGCAAATAATTCTGCAAATATTGCAGGCAGAGTTATTCAATTTTGCAAACTGATGTACATTGTCACTATAAAAAAGTATTTTAAATTTCAATTGAATATCTCAAGCAATAATTGAGATATTTGACTTTACAAAAAAACTTTAACCAAAATTTCTAAGTTCCAAAGGGGCATAATTCTGTCAATATTGTAGGTAGAGTTATCCAACTTGTCAATCTGATGTACCTTGTTACTATAAATAAGTATTGTAAGTTTCAATTGAATATCTCAAGCAATAATTGAGATATTTGACTTTACAAAAAACTTTAACCAAAATTTCTAAGTTAAAAAGGGGCATAATTCTGTCAATATTGTAGGCAGAGTTATCCAACTTGTCAATTTGATGTACATTGTTACTATAAATAAGTATTGTAAGTTTAAATTGAATATCTCAAGCAATAATTGAGATATTTGACTTTACAAAAAACTTTAACCAAAATTTCTAAGTTAAAAAGGGGCATAATTCTGTCAATATTGTAGGCAGAGTTATCCAACTTGTCAATTTGATGTACCTTGTTACTATAAATAAGTATTGTAAGTTTCAATTGAATATCTCAAGTAATAATTAAGATATTTGACTTTACAAAAAACTTAAACCAACGCAGACGCCGACGCGGACGCTGACGCCGACGCCGACGCTGGGGCGACTACAATAGCTCTCATATTCTTCGAATAGTCGAGCTAAAAATGAGAATAAAAAATCCACATTTTCACTTGCGGACATTACAAACGCTTCCCTATTGACTACTTCTTAAAACCTCCCTTGAAGAGTTACGCACCATTTTAACGTCAGTTTAAGAAAAAGCTTACGAACGTTTAGTGGAACACACGATTTACGTAAGTTTAAACGTAAGCGTAAAGTTACGATAATTCTTGCAGAAAAACTTACGCAATATTAGTAAAACGCTGCCCTGGATCTTGATCTAGGTCATGTTCTAGCTTCGCGTTGCATACACCAATAGCCAAACCTACCGTTAAATGCCGGATTTCACTGACGATTTTCAGGTTTGGCACATATCTAATACCATATTTTCCATCATAAGAACTTAACGTGAACGAATGTCGGTCGACACCATCTGTCCATCCAGAAGCATTAAATCAATATTGCAAATAAATCGTATTCCGGTATATAAGATATATAGACAAGGCGCTTGAATGATTAATTGCTAAAATTTCACCTTTTCACCCAAAGAAATGACTTTAAATTGTCACACCGATTGGAAGTAGGTCAGGTGATTGGCAAAAATGGTGGATGCCATTGGGCAGGGCCGTAAGTGAAAATTGTCAAAATGAACTGCATCAGTAATTATCTGTTTTATAGTATTCCATTCTGTTAGTTGAGGTTTTTTTCAACGACTTGGCTTATCAGAATACATACCCTTATAACGTATGGTAAGGTACAGCCAGCACGCTCAATATTGAGGGAGTTAGGAGAGAGTTATTTCAAATGTGGAGAACCTTAAAATAACATATATTGAAACGTATAAAAGAGTATGCCATTGTATTTCTTTACTTTTTCTCGACAAGAGTATGAATTTATTTATTTATTGGTATGTTCATATCCGATCTACTTTTTCCTTGTGTGGACAAATGGCGTGGACGTTCCGGTAAATAAGTAATTGAGATCTAACGTAAAAAGTTCTTATTACCGTACTGTACTGTACTGTATGGAAAATAAAGTAAATCTAGATCTACATAAAAGTTCTTTACCTGAAAAATGTCAGTTAATTCCCGTCATTTTTACGGTAGATTTGGCGGTCAATTTCAAATACACGAGGTTGGTGCGAAGCGCGGCCTGTTGGTTTGCCAAACCAGGGTGAAAATATTTTCATAGTTGAGATCTAAACATAGCTTTGTGAACGCATTCCGTCCTAATAAAAGTGATGACGTTTTATATAAATGTCTGACGTCATCAAAATTAAATATTGGGATTCCCGCGTTTTTTTACGCAGTTTACTTAAAATGAAGCACTGGTTAGTCTGTTGTGTTTGAAAACGGTCCCGCAACACTGAAGGAAGTGGGCATTGCAGGGGAAATGAACCGTGCCGTCTGTATATATATGTCACGTATTTCATAAATAGCATGATTTCCGAAATAGTTTGTGTAGAGAACGGTCTATAAGTAAACAGAGCGACAATGCAAAGCAAAATAGATCTACACTTGTTCTAGCACAGACATTATACTTATTAATTTCAACCGATCGAAAGACCTGTATTGAGCAAACGTCGTAGCTCGATCTCCTAGACGTGACGTTAACGGCACGGTGCTGAGGGTCGTTAGTAGAATCTACTACTTCTCAATTATTCAAAAATCATGTAGAAATTTTCTATTCGAATGATGTTTGTTTAAAACGAAATATTAATTTGTTTTTATGTAGATTTCTATAAATTATAAGCTATTGCTATTTTGTTTTCGGGGGGGGGGTCACATAAGCGGTCTTATGGCGATTTTCCAGCTTTACTGTTACTGGTGAAAGAAGACCCCAGGTGCACCTCCGTGTCTTATTAGAGGAACGAACGGGCACCTGAGTAGATCGGGCACCGACGTTCCGTAAGCTAGAATTACTGGTTTGCAATGTAGTAGGCCTACAACCTCTATCATTTATTGATAAATCATACCCCTGGTGTAAATATTTACCCGATTCATGAAGTCACTTGATTATATCATTCATATTCAAAGTCACTTGAGATATATTTTTACCGGTTGTTTTTATCTAGTAGGTGACAAGGGCCTCAATGTTAGCACATGTGTTTACAGTTATATAAAGAACGGCTTGCAACTTTCATGAGTTAAACGTGACCAACAGGTTTTTATGCTCAACTTGAAGACTTTCTGTCCAAATCCTGTTATGTCCGTGTAAAAGCAGATACATGACTAATCTAATTTGTTTTATATAGTCAATTGTTACCCCTTCTCTTCACCCGCACTGACCAGTGCATGAAAACAACTCAAACGCATAATTATACAAATGTATTATAAAACAATCTTAACATCATTTTTCTTTGCAAAGGCATTTAACAGTGAATTGAACCTGTAGTCGTTTGCATATGGGATTGCAAAAAGGAACGTTGCAAAACTTCGTTAATAAGTAAAAAAGGTATTTACCTTGCTTGAATGTTCCCTAAGTGCAAATGGATATATATATACATGTATACAAAAATGGGATACTGTCCTAGGATGATAATTTGGTCTTAACGGTACATGGGAAAGTCCAAAAACGGGGTTATCTGGATTATTATGCGATATCGTAAAAGTAATAACTCACAAATACTATATAGCATTATTCTTACGGTATCGTTTGTGTATTACCGTTATGGCTCTGCCGGTAGATCGAAGTTATTGTATCTTTTAATGTTATTTACTCATAGGTTCGAACCCCACGTAGTGCCATTTTAAAACCACAGTTTTTTGTTCTTGCTCTGTTTTTTATCATTATTAGTTATTTATTTTTCGTTTTCCATTTGTTTTCTTCTTATAATATATATTATTTTATAGTATATATTTATTATTTTTATTTCTATTCTATTTGATCGCATTGTAATAAAATATTCGATCTCATATTCATGTATGTATATAAAAAAACCGGTCAAACTTGTTTTCTGAACAATTGACTGATCTTAGGTAAAAAAAATGTGTCTGACAAGTAATCGAACTTCTGCCTGTACGGGAAAAACACCTTACTGACACGGTTGCTCAACCTACTGCGCTAACAAGACATATGATAACGTGTAGTTTTATTTTCATTTTTATAGTTTGTAGCATTGATCTGCCTAACCTATTTTTCGCATTGTTATTGGTCTTTGTTATGTAAACAAAGGCTCAAGTTATCATCCGAGGACAGTACCAGCGGTCACGGTAGAGGTCAGGCGTACTGTACTGTGTTATTGTTTGGCCATATTGACCTGATTTATCTGAATATTCAATGACCTGTTGTCGGTGATTATCGGATTCCGAAGCTAATCGTACGGGATTTTAAAGTAGAGCACCGCGGTTTTAATTACCAGCATAACACTTGACCATACATTCGAAATATTTGTAATGGATTAAAATCTATGAAATGAAAAATTATGTATTTATCAAAATCACAAAAATTAAAAATAAACGACTTATTTAATAAAGAAACTCCGCTGAAGTCTAAAAGCTTAAAAACATAAAATTTGAATTTCTTACATTGGTCAGCTGGGACGCAAAAAAACAACAACAGGAAGATGTGCTAAATATAGTTAATAAATATATTCAGAAATTGAAAATCATATTTTTTTTTCAATTCATAGCCGTTGGGTCATTTTCATAATTAGAAAAATCAAATCAATATGGAAAACGGAGTGAGCAAATGATGCACACAATTTACTTGTCTAGATCTTCATTAATATAATTTATAAACTGCATTACAGTTTGTATTAAGTAACATAAAAGTTGTTTAACTTTTTTTATTGATGGTCAGTAATATTTTATCATGTGTTTTTAAATAACATATATGATATAAAGAATGATAATAATCATATGAAATGTGTATAGCTAAGCGAGACAATTCTTCAGTAAATTGCTAAAATTTGGTTTGTGAAGTTGTCCCCCTAAGAAGTAGTTGTGTATAGATGAGACGAATAAATAAATAAATAACTTAGTAAGATTTATTTATTTCCATACATTTATGGTCGATTATCAAAATATTTGTAATACATATATCTCAGTTATTTAATACACATGATTATTATAAACTTATAAATGAAATATTGAGAAATATTGATGAAATAACATGCGTATTATCATTTTCCATATTTTCACTGGAAAAAAATATTTTTCACTGCAGAGAAACATATTTTCCGTATTTTCACTGGCGTCTTGCCGGACTAATTTCTTTTCAATTCTGCCAGTACACAAAATTTAAGGATAAATCTTTCAAATTGTAATGTCAAAAAAGAGAAAGATGTAAATAATAAACAGAAAACTCAAGCTACATGTATGAATCACTTACACGAGAGAAGCAAAAAAAATCTGTTCCGGAATGACGTAATATGTTAAATATGTTTAATCAACAAGGTAAAAAATAAATGAATTCAGATGTAATATTATATTTATTGAACAAATTTGATACAATCATAACATGCGTGTTTTTACTGAATTACTAAATTACGCACATTAGTGTAACGCAAATAACACAATATGTTTTGTACTAAAATGATGTTTCACTGCAGTGAAAACATAAAGTTTTACTTCGAAAATACGAAAATGGAAATATGCATTTTATTTCATCAATATTCCACAATATTCCATTTATACATTATATCAAATTGAGGATATTTAAGTTTTTTCACTTAGGTTAATAAAAGATTTATAAAAAGAATAAAAGAAAATGAATTTTGTAGTTATAGACAAAGCTTAAATTTTCTGTTTATTATATACATTTTTTTAAATTAAAATTCACATTACAATTAGCAAAAACTACCCTTTAAATTAAGTGAATTTAGAAGAAAGTAGTCCGACACGGAAAATTATGTTTCATTTTATTGAAAAATACGTTTTTACAGTGAAAATACAGCAAAAATGAAAATACGAATTTCATTTCATCAATATTTCATAAGTTGATATATCCCATGAGTATAATACTAACATGTCTAAATACTTTGACTAAGACAAAATAAAAGTAGTTCTTACTTAATGAATTTATCAATATATAATATTATATATATAATATCCTTTGTTGATAAAGTGATAATATCGTTGTTAACTTGTTAATTTGAACAGATAAAATAGAATGAAAGTACAACACGCCTTTCTTGTTACCCGTCAACACGTGAATGACAAAGTATTTAATACGTAAATTATATATACCGGTACCCAGTATGTAATTGCATAATGGTGCGGAAATTGGTTTCCCATAATAGCTAAATATAGATTTTAAGATTGTAGTATATTAAGGAAGATAACTGGTTAGGGTTGTCCAAAAAATTCGTGAAGTGAGAGTTATTGATAAAAAACATGAATTATATATCACTTGAAGAGGAAATCTATCTCAAATAAAAAGTAAAGGCCTCAACAGACGGTAGGATTTTAAAGTACAACACCAATTAAAACTAAGATGTACAAGCAAATCTTAATGTGTGAAGGCTACCATTTCTTTAATTCGTAAACCATGTTCTATTTTGAAAATTGTGTACAGATTTCGTACTACGGAAGCCCATAAGTGCCATTTTGTCTTAGGACTTTTGTCTTATGACTAATGACTTGTGTATTATGACTTTTGTCTTATGTATTATGACTTGACAAAACAGCGGCAAAAGGGCAAGTTTCATCACATGCACCCTTCATGGACGTTGGAGGTAAATCTGATAATGAAGCAGAAGACGATTTGGTAAGTGTTAAATTTAAAAAGTATGCCAGTACTGTATTTCTCCTAACTTGAATAATTATCTCCCATACAAGGTTAGTGACTCTATTAATAGAGTTATCTCCCTTTTCAACTTCTTTTTTAATTTTCAAATATAAAGGTTATTCCTGTATACGGTGCAATTTTGATTTAAGCAGTCATAGTCTTACTTATCAACCCGCTCGCTTATATCAACAGACCGACGGTTTGTTGGCGAGGCTATGTTTTGTGTATAAAATTTTCAGGCCATTTAATCAAACTCCGTCTTTGTTTAATCTTTTTTCTCCTAGCAACATTTATATGACTTCAAAAAAAAAAAAAAAAAAACTACACACTGATAACTATGATGTTTGAATAATTATTGCAATTGACATTTTATACAGCAGTGTTTTTATAAATTTAATATTTTGTCTGACATCTTATAAGTATGAATAAGAGCTTATATGTATACGTACTCTGTTTTCCAGATATCACAAGTGAATATGTTGGCGTTCCATAGCTTTTGGTTTTGTCTTTGGATACAACAGGTTAACTCTGTATTAGGAGTGACACCTTCAAACATAACAGA